TTATGTTGTTTAATAAAATTGTCACTTCAAGTGGACCTATTATGCTATATTGGAAGAATATATTGTAGGGCCATACATATACAAAACATGTCATGCCTCATACTGCTCATACCCCTCTTTTGTAGCCCTGTTAGAGAAACGCGGATTTTGGGTCCTTAGCTTTAAAAAAAAAAAAAAGAGGAGGCGGAGTTCTACCGGAGATAAAGTTAAATTCTGCTGTGATAAAACGCCATCCTGTTCTAAACCACATCCAGGATTATTTCTGAAACAGTATGGAGCTCAAATTCTTTTTCTCTTGCGGGTTTATCAAAAGGTGAGTTCCTTTTTTTATTTCCTGCTTTTTAAACACATGTGCTCTCCAGTACAGGTTAGCTCTGAGTGTTAGCGAGGCTTGCTAATGTAAACAAAGACAAGATTACGTCTAAAACACGTCAGGCATTGTTTCTGCCAACTTTCTTTGGGTCCGCCGCCGATTTGAAATCATATTGGCAGCAAATCTGTATACGCTCGTTGTACCCCCGTTTTTAAAAGATTTGGGTACGGACGAAAAGAGAAAGGGTTTTATTTTCTGACGCTGCGTGAGTTCCCCGACACACCGGGGACACATATTTATGTATAAAAGACATCAAAAAGTGCATTTTGCATGATAGGTCCCCTTTAAAGTTACTAAAACAAATACTCTAAATGAAAAAAACTACCGAAACAAAGGACTGTAACTTAAATTTACTAAAACAAATACCTTTACAAAAACAACTACCAATTACTGTATTTTATGTTTATGTTATGTCTTTGTCTTTTTAACTCGCTTTCATTGTGCCCCTCTCATGAAATAACTGGCCCCAGCCTGGCCCCCCCAGTCAAATTGGTCTAGAACCGCCACTGATTATACGTCTCTGAATAAACCAAGTATGTATCATATCATCTGATCATATATTCCACCTAACATGCGTTTTACATGTTTTGTTACCAAAAAGAATGTCGGTCAGGATATTAATCTTACAACTACGATACATAAAAAAGCATTTATATGAAATAATTGTGTCCGATATTGTCAGGGACCAAGTAGTTAGGCAACAGGACACAACAGGTTTTTTATTTACCCAAAAATCCAAAGAAAACATTACAAACCAAGAATCTCGAATAACTAGGCCTATAAAGAGGTCAACAGAAAATACCTAAAATAAACATGACATCAACTTAACAGGTGATAACTCAACCAACTGACCTGCTACAATCTTCTTCTCCTTCTTGGAGTTTTACGGCAGTTGGCATCCAGCTTAATGGTGCATTACCGCCACCTTTCTGTTCCGGAGTGTGGAACAGACAATAAGAATTGGTTGGTTCACAATCTTAATCCCTTCACAATAATAATAAAATAAATAAATAACATCTCAAATCCTATTAAAAAAAGAAAACGTACTCCTTAAGATATATAACAGTTCCCTAACCTGACCTGCTACAATGACACACCAAGGAACATGGCTTGGCCAAACCAAGTGGAAACCAAGGGGTAATTAAGATTAACAGAATACAAAAAGGACACAAATCCCCCCCTTTGACACCGAAGCAGGTGGTTTGTCCCAATCTGTCCCAATTGGCTGCTTGCAGTATTTAGGAGTCCTCAGTGCTCAGCCACACCTTTCGCTGAACCAGGAAGTAACCTCCCCAAACGGCCACGGTAACTCAAAGACAAAGAAAGTAAAATGTTTGAAAATAAACTATACTGTGTCCGATTACAAGCAAATGAAGAGTTAACCATCTAAATCTAATGTGTGGTGTGTAGTGATCACTTATTAATACACTGATTGACATAATTCACGCATGGAACTACAGGTTGGGGGTATTGTTTCCGCACGGACACAAATGTTGACGGTACCTACTGTGTACCTACTGTGTGTCCTCCCTTTCGCTTTCTCTTCTCTTCCCGGGCTGCGACCCGACAGCATGTCCATTTCTGCTGCTCAATAAAGCCAGATTTGCACCTTCGATGCACCGCCTCCGACTCCCTTCTCTCGGCACTACATTGGTGACCCCGACATAAGTCTCGCGAAGGATCCGAGACTGAACCGAACACGGCAAAAAACACTGTTTTTCTCGAAATGCCGGAGATTCTTGGAGACGTCCGTGGCTGCCACGTGCACATGGACTGAGGCTCTGTGCGCCCCGCGGAATGGCTGAGGACCTCGCCCGCCATTCCCGCTTCGTCTCGGCACTGGAAGGCAGCAAGCCTTCCTACTACGAGGAGACGATGCACGACCTGCTAGGTGTGGAGGAACCCGACTTCTACCTCGTGGAGCTGTTTCTTCGGGACATGCGGCTGCATGTCCAGGCTGCGCTAGCTAACACGGCTAGTGTTGAGCCCCGCGCTTTGGCCGAAGAAGCTAGCCGGTTCTTCCTGGCCGCCCGGCGATTTACCCCTGAGGTGCTGGCCACTGTACGCTGCGGCACCTTCCCTGGTGGGGGCACGCCGCCTAGCAGAGGCTCCGGGGCCGACGACGACGACAGCGACTAACGGCCGTCGAGAACGGCTAGCCACGGCTGCTAACGGCTAGCAGCTACCAACGGCTAACGACAGCTAGCCACGACAGCTAGCAGCTATCGCCATCCGACTGTTTTTTTTGTGGTGCCGGAGAGGAGGTTCGATCATGTCTGGTCGGCCTCGTGTGGATCCTCTCGCTATTTCGCCCACCTGTTTTTGTTCGTGGACAGGACGACCCTTTTGAGTTTTTTTTCTGGTGCCTGAGAGGAGGTTCGACCATGTCTGGTCGTCCTCGTGTGGACCCTCTCGCTTTTTCACCACCTCGACGGCGGCTTCGGACGTCGCCCATGCCTTCTTCGGCCCGTGGGTGGCGCGCTTCTGGACCCCGTCTCGCCTCGACTCTACGGTTTCGGACGTCGCCCATGCCTTCATCGGCCCGTGGGTGGCGCGCTTCGGGACCCTGTCTGGCCTCTTCCCTCGCCTCTGCGGTTTCGGACGTCGCCCATGCCTTCATCGGCCTGTGGGTGGCGCGCTTCGGCGCCCCGTCAGGCCTCTCCCCTGTCCACGGCTCCCTCCTCCCGGGGATGCGGCTCCTTCCTCCCGAGGACTTCGTACCCGCCGCCGCTGTGCCTTCGCCTGCGGCCGGGCAGCGCTCCTCCCTGCTGGGGACCGCCGGGTTATTCACGCCCGTCCCCACGTCGCAGCACAGCGGCCCTGTTTTCTATGGCTGGCGGAGGTTTTCTTCATTCGCCACGACGCCTACCGCGGCCCCCTTACGACGGCCCGTTCCGGCCCACCCCCCACCCCCGGTGGGGATGCCCTCGCCCTCATTAGGGCTCCTGCCCTCTCCTGCGGCCCCCTTCCGACGGCCCGTTCCATGGCCCGGCCCTCTCCGGCGGCCCCGCCCTCCTCGGCCCCTGTGGTGCTTCCTCCCGGACGCGAGGATTGTGCCATGCTTGAATTCTGGGGGGGCTTGTGTAGTGATCACTTATTAATACACTGATTGACATAATTCACGCATGGAACTACAGGTTGGGGGTATTGTTTCCGCACGGACACAAAGGTTGACGGTACCTACTGTGTACCTACTGTGTGTCCTCCCTTTCGCTTTCTCTTCTCTTCCCGGGCTGCGACCCGACAGCATGTCCATTTCTGCTGCTCAATAAAGCCAGATTTGCACCTTCGATGCACCGCCTCCGACTCCCTTCTCTCGGCACTACAGGTGTTACAAAATGGCATGTTGTCCTGCATCTGAACTGAAGCATAACTACTGAAGGTGAGGGTGTAGTGTAATTGTTTTACCCTGTGTGGCTGTGGCCATCACGGATGTCTAACTATGGAGATACAATTTTTGGTCACTGTGCAAAATGTATGGGTTTCTCAGGTTACCAAGGGACAAGGAAACAGCAGGGAAATGTCTCCCTTTCACTGTGTCTAAAATATGAGATTGTTGTCTTATGTTTTCAACAATGTGAATCCCGTGGCTGTCAAACAGCTACAGGCAACTTGTCTTTCTCTGAGGCCAGGCCACGTTTCCATTGTCAGCAATACAGTTAAACATAGACCCATATCTATCCCCCTCTGTATCATGTGAAAGGAAATCTGAAAATACTAACACACACATACGTATGTCATATGATTGGGAGTAAATGTTGATGACTTCACAGTTCATTCATTCTCAGCGCTTAACAAGTCCACTGAGCCTCTCTGTCCCACTTCGCTCCCTAAATTCAAAGTTGTGAGCTGAGTGAGGTTCTGAAGTCACAAGCTCTGCTCACTTGTTTGCTTGTGAGATAAAGTATTTAAAGGTGGGGTAGGTAATTTTGGAGAAACCAGCTTGAGTGCGCTAGAATTTGAAAATACACAACTGGGAAAAAATCTGCCACTTCCTTACAGAGCCCCTCCTCCAACACACACGCGCACATGACCAATGAGGGTTAAGTAAAAGTCAAATGTAAAAGATTACTGAAAAGAAAATTCAAGGAGCCAACATAAAAAAACTTTTTTTGCCATAACGCTTTGCAGATTAAAAGAGTACTATGTGCATTTTAAGATGACATCCAAGCTAGCTGTTTCCAACATCTTTAATTCTGCAACAGCTAACCGCAATCAGGCCTATTCCTTTAGCATTCAACCTTATATAGCCAAGTGGAAATGTGTCTTGCAGGTTAGTGAAACACAGAACACACATACTTCAATTTAAAACATAATAAAGTAAATGTATAGAGTACATTCTGTGTTTAAAACATGTGAAGCCCATCAGACAAGCGGTCATAAAATAATGTAGCTGAAGTAATAAACTGAAGAATCATCATCATAAAAAAAATCTCCTGAGACTTTTCTTGATAGCATTGAGGACATCTACAACACGGGAATTAGTAAACAAAGATTGAAATGTAGTACTAAAACCAACAGTCACCCTGTGAGATCCCTCCGCCTAATTGACTCTCAGTGTGAGCCGCAGCACCTGTCTGCACGCTGCTTCTCCCTCCGCCTCCGCTGGCCGCATCATCTCCTCCCGCAGAGCTAACAGGAGCAGCAGCGTCTCTCCTCCAGCTCCAAGCTTTATGTCTGTGAGGGCTGCTCGTCGCCGGAGGGGAGATTTTACGGATGCTCTTCACCTAATGTGACACATTTCATACAAGTGCTCGAATCACCGGTTGAAGCAATGAGAGTCTTTGGAGTGATAATAGGGATTTTACAGTACGTGGGACTTTATATTCAACTTAACACAGCTCTTAATGTCGGACACGGAGAGGTGGATAATCACATCTCTGGAAATGGTAAGTTTGTTCATGCCTCTGTTTGTTGGTGGTAGCTTGACTGCAAAATAAGCTTGTATTATTATAATATTCATGTCTTGAGCAGAAGCGAATGGGTGTGGTTCAGTGGAGGAGTTAATTAAGTGTATTTAAGTTTAATGCCGTTTTCTTTTTTGTCAAGATAGATGTCTATTATTATTTCAGTTGTGCTCATGTCTGTGAGAATCTTAACAAGGGAATCGCTATAGGTTTTAATTTAACTTATACATATCCCACTTGTATCGTCTTTAAATGTGTCCACTTGAAAATTGTTTATTGGGTTAGTTATTTGAAGTGCATTCAAACTGAATATGACAGATAACTGCAGTAACTTATGGAGAGCCATATTCATTACTTGTATACATTTATGAATAATTTGTTTCAACACAACCTTTGTTGGAGAAGATCAGGTATACATTAGCTATAGAGTTTTTATTAAAACTTTGTGCAAGATGTTGTTTTGGAATACAATCCCAAAAGTTACAGACCTACATTTTTTTTTGATTTTTCTTTATATATTTCCCGGAAAATCTGATTGCAATAAAGTTAGATAACTAATGTCTGAATGTCAACAAGATATACTGGTCTCTTTGAAGTAGTGATTCAATATCAGAGGAAATAAATAACAGATCCAGATTGTAACATCTATATACCATTTGCAGCACCCACACATACTATATTGATGTTTTTCATATGGCTCATGGTTTTACAGCAATGTACATTACAATAAAAGTGAATATTTTGTCTAATGCTAAATTATACAAAACTGTGTTCCAAGGCCCAGCAGTCTCTATACAGTTGACATGGTGAAGCCTTTGAATTGTTCCACTAATTCATTTCAAGAATATTTTTTAACTCAACCACTTGGAGTTTGATGCCCCATCCTTTCATCTCTGAAAAAGGAGCATTGAGGGGTTGAATGCATCATAAGTCCTGGTCAAAAGCAGATTGTGAATATTGCGAATGCTTTAGCTTTAGACCAATAGACTAAGCAATTAGAACAACTATAATCTATTACTTCTATTTGTTTTGGGCACTGTATGTGGAATACTACATCATAATCTTATATGAGTTAAAGAGTGTGTTTGTCATGCAGTATAAACCTCCACCAGCCACACAGTCACTCACGTTTGTCTCCTGTCCAAATCACCACAGTGTTATTAGATAATATTTATCGTTCGAAACAAGGTTAAGATTGATGGACATAAAAAGGAAATGCAAGGCCAAGGTTTTGAGCTTTCAATGTTCTTAAGACAAATTACCCGTAAGGTAGCCAAAGCAGAGAGAGGGTGTTTCTCAATGTCGAGTACGCTTGCTTGGTAGCACATGTCTTCCGAGTCACTTGCTTCAGAAGCGAGGCAAGAATACTTCCTGGCATTCGGAAAACGAAGAGTGGAACATGCGAGCAAGTGTGCAGGTGTGCGTCATATGAGAGGCCCCGCCTTACATTTCCCGCCACAGATTTGGGGAAATTGGTCCGTGCGCAAAGCATTGTGGGGATTTTAAGACCGCAAAGTCTACACATGTGCAGCCTCGAAATTTCTCGCTACGAATTACGCCGGGCTCGGTAGAATTCCAAGTATGCTAGACATTGGAACAGTACTTCGGCGGCACTCGATGATGTAGAATGCTTGAAATAGTGACTCTGGAGCAGCTTTACTTGAGATTGAGAAACACCCTGAGAAACACCCAGAGGATCTGTGCTGCACTCTGTACTTTTTGGAGGTGCGTGAAGGCTTGACATGCTTGGCATTGTCCTGTGGCACCTTATGTTATATTCACAACTTCTTATACTCATGGACTTGATTTCTACTGACCCTGATTGGTTTGCTATGTTTATGCAGATCTGGATTTCTGATCCGTCATGTCAAATTGCTTTTTATTTTGAGCAGTCAGTCACCACTGTAAATAAAAATAGTCTGTCAAACCAGCTGTAAGATAGTATTATAATATGCAATTATGAGTGCATATATTTTTATGTTGTAGGTGAAAGCATGTGTGTATGTCTGGTAAGATATAGCATTCAGACAGCTGCTAAAATAACGTCTTTGCTGTTCCTTTAAGTGCTTTTATTTTCAGACAGTGCTATTTCTGTTCAAGTGCTATCTTTTCTCAGAGTCAGCTCTTTTGAACACAATTGGCATTTTTACCTCCTAGCAATCCTACCTTTCTCCAGCAGCTCCAGATATAGATTTACTGTTCTCTAATTAAATTGTGTGATAACCAATTCATCACAGTGTCTTCCCCTGAGCCCTCGCTGCTTAGCAAGTTAGCTTTTAGCTCGATCGCTAAGAGTGAAAGCAGCTGGCTCCAAATGGGACAGGTCGGAAAATCAATTAATAGCATTTCTCTCTAAGGGACTTGATTACAATTTGCCAAATCGTGTTCTTTCCCACTCTGTGTCAGACTGGCTGGCCATAAAGAAGAAAATTCCTCAGGGTGTGATGCTTTAACAAAAACTAAAATATACTCTAAAAATCAACCGTTCAGGTTTTTTAAACTTGTTCCAGAAACTAAATAAAAGCCTTCTATTTTCACTTTTCACCAAAAGTAGCTCTAGCTCTAGCAGTGTTTGTGGTTAAGTAATCCTCAGGAGATTACTCTTTTTTTTCCTTTTTTCTTTCAATCTGGCTTTTTGATAAATTGCCCAAGCAGAGGGGAGCCGAGCCGTCATGTAGAGCAGAGAGGATGGGTGCACCGTTCTGGAGAGTGCTTGTTAGATTCAGCCCTGAATCATTTGTTTCAGATAAGTGCATCTGGCTGGGGCCCGGTCAGCGCCTGCACCACAGATTCCACTTCAGCTCAAGTGTAGATTGAATCACCTGCTACGCAAAATAATAGGTTCTGTGTGAATTCAAATGACAGGGTTACTTGAATCTGTGTTTTTACGTCAATGAGGGCCATGTGTGTCAGAATATGACTCACCTACCTGATGGTCGTGTCTCACCAGTGAGGACATAGGAGGCAGATAAGAATGAGCATTGTTTGTGTGAGTTATTGGTCATGTTGATGCCGTACAATACAAAGTGATAAATTATCCTACATGTAGTTTCATCCTCATTCTGAACCCAGTGCGAGACAGCGTTGGTGCTATTTGGCAGCGTTCATCCTGTTAACCATCGTGAGCGGACCACTTTCACAGTGTGGGGGCGTGTACCAATTCATTAGGCTTCCAAAGTGTCTGGGATTCTCTGCCAGACCTCTGCTTGGTGTCCTCTTAATGAGGATAGCCAGCCCAGGCAGTTTGCATTGGCTTCCAATTTAATGGATCCCTGACTTTGCGGGGGGGCAACAGATTGTACAGTCACGCTGTCACGGCGGAGGGTGCTGGCGGAGGCTCGGTAGGAGAGAGCAGGAGAGGGAAAAGATGGCTGCAAGGACACTCATCTCGAGAGGATACTGGAGGCTTTTTACATTTTAACCTGTCACACTTCAAAGGGAAAGCTTCCTCTGGTAGTGATGCAGTTCTCCTTGGTGTGAATTAAAACCCTATAGTTAGTATGAAAACCAAATTGTGAGAAAACTGTGCAATCAATAATATAATACCTTTTATATGAATCCAACATCTAAAAATGTGCCTTCTGCTTCTAGCTATTGCAACACAAATATTATAATATAATTGTAAATTATGGTAATTTTCAATTTTACACTGATTTATCATAAGTCCGGAGCAGTTCTCAAAGACGTCCTCATCGGTCATCACAGAAGAAAGCCGTGGCCCTGAGAAATGTCGTTTTGTGCGAGCTGTTCTTTGGCTTAAATGTAAAGCTCTGCCTCAACTCCAATTAAACTTCATCAAGACCCTATTCAATTTGTGCCATGCAAAGTTCTTAAGCACTTGTGTCACTGCTGTACACCACTGCCACTTCTGAAAGCATATATACGCCATCATTTTGGCCACATACTCAAATCAAAGAAATGGTTGTCTTTCATCTCCGGAGAGTCCAGATGGAGTACAGTGTGCTCCGAGCCCCGGTGTTGTCAACAACACGTGCTGATACCACACTCTGGGAGGAAATGCGAAAATAGCCTTTGAGTCTTATGTCCCAGGGGCTATGAAAAATTCCCTCTAGAGCACTGGCGGCAACAGGCAGACAGCTGCTTGCTTGATTACCAGCTCCATTCTTATTTCATTATTTTTACCTTCCACCTTGAAGAGAGGCTGAAGGTCGCGCAGCAAGCGATTATTTCCCCAAGGATGCTCCTGTCTGTTTGCATCGCCACTTATTCTGAACCAAAAACAGCATTATTGACTTTATGGTATATTCCCAGACTGCTTATTTTTGTTTGTCAGTGCTATCATGTTTATTTTTCCACATTATTAGTTATCGGTTGTCAATTGAACAACTCCTGAGTTAATTATTGCAGGTAATTACAGACATATCTTTGAACAGGGAGTCAGGCTATATATAGTATTAACCGGTATTTCCGGTATAACATTTAAGCCACCTTTGCTGTGAATGATTATTGATCTAACAAACATTAAATACCTTCATATAATTGACTTAATCTGCCTGTTCGAAAATATATTTTTAATAAAGATATTCTCACAACCAGTAGGCTACAAATGCTGAGATCCCTGAATAATTTGCATAATTTCTTCCTCTAGTTGGTTACCTTCATGATTAAAGCTTTTTAATATGGAGCTCTGCAGCAGGTCTCTTTATTACAGGAGCTTCTTGTTGTTTCAACCCCAGTTCTCTTAGGGCTCCCTGGATTATTAAAGCCATGCATCAAGTCAGCGAAATACCTGTTCCTACAAGGATTCTGATTTTCTTATATGTTGGTTTTTATTCGGTCACTAATTTCTTCTGAATTAATCATTACTCATCTTCAATGCCCTACGGATGTGACTCACAGAGGTATTGAGTTAATGACCATGATTTTAGTTGCCGTTTTTATAAACTGGCAACTTCTCAGGGGAAACATTTTTGCACTTAACCTAGAGAAATATATTCTGCAGTTCTTCAAACTGACACAAA